TTTTGCAAACCCCCAGCCCCTCCAAACATATCCACACAACCTGTAACCAGCAGGTTTGCAAAATTGAGCAATTGAGCACTTTACATGACAAATGGTAACTTTGGTAACAATCTTTGAACTCTCAACTGTTTAACCTAAACTAGTATGAAAACATAAACTGGCACAGTACCCGACTTTTTACTTTCTCTTCATTATGGGGAGAAGCTTTCCATTCTTTTTCATATGATCTACCTCTGACAAAAGTGCGGGATCATTGCTTAAGACATCTGAGCACTTCTGGATAAAGGTCTGCAGCTTCTGGCCTCTGGAGCAGCCTTGTAGGAGTTCTTCATACTTCGTTTGAGACACAATGGCAAGTTCTGCAATTGCAACACTGGCAACCACTGTGTTCCTGTCCACTCCAACCGCCTTGTAAGAACACCTCAAGTTCTTCCCTTGCCTGAAATGATGCAAGACCTTTTTGTATCTCTTTACAACGTCCTTTGGATTCACAGCTGCAAAAACAAACAAACAAAAAAAAAATAATTAACCAAGCTGTGAAAATATCCATAACCTTGTAAAATTCTTTACTACTGTTCTTGTTAATGTAACATTTAATCATGTTTGTAAATCTTCCATTATGTAACATATTACACTGAAATGACTATTTTACTAAACCATACTCTAGATCAATAATAAAATTAATGTCAACACTATTCTTGATCAACATACTGTGTATCAAAAAAGATACGGTTAACACTGGAACATTTTACAGCCTGAAAGAATATGTGATATGCAAACTAGTTGTATCTTCTTGTAAAGGTATAACCCAAGCAACCCATAAACACTGAGACAAATCCAGTTGCAAGCCAGTTGTATCAGTGAAGTGTACTATAAACCAAGGGTCCCATAATTACAAGAACACTACAATTTTTGTCTTTTTCTTGTGTATTGCAGGCTCTCCTTAAGGAGGTCCTAGACATGACATCACTCCTGAAAAAGTTATCTACACTGACAGCTTCAGTAAAGACTTCTCTCCACTAACTTCTAATTGCTGATCCAGCCACCAATGGACCCTTTTCACAAGACTGTGATGACGCGTTTTAACGGTCATCATCATAACGCATTGACATTTATTCATATTTTGATTTTTGAAAAAAACAACGTATGTACATTTGTAAGACTATACTTTGTATTATATTACCTTTTTATCAAGTTACAAAAAACTAGTTAACGCTAATGCAATATCTCTGTCATTTTTTTCCTTTGATTGAAAATCGTGAAAACACTAAACCCGGAAATGTGAGAAAGGTCCATCAACTGCTCAGCTAAAGACGATAAAATCCAACACCACTTACCTCTCTTTAAAAAGTTTCTTTCCTTCCTTATCTTCTCTTTCTTCTTCTTCTTCCCCTTCTGGGTCTTCTTTTTCTTGTACTTGTTGCGCTTTTTTACTTTCTTTCTCTGACAATCAGAAGATGAGGAGGAGGATGAGGAGGATGAAGAAGACAAGGAAGATGATGTAGAGGATGCCGCTTGCTAGAATGACTCTGATGAGTTAGAAAAGTCTGAGTCATTGAGGTCAGCTGACACATTTGTCCGAGCACTACTTTTCTTCTTGTCTAATGCAGAGGGAGAAATACAGAGAGCTTAATACTGAGACACGTAACACCAAAATACAGTCATGACCTCATCAGAATAAATATTTTTTCTACTGTCACAGATAACGTTTGTTACTTTAATAGTGAAAATGTAGTAAAATGTAAATCCTTGTGTTTACTGTCAGTTTCCTTTGCTGAATTGCTATACCCAAGTAAGTTAGGGCCAGTTCCAATACCTCATGGTTTTGGTATTTCATACTTGCCCACTTGTCTTATGTACTTTCCATTTTCTTTTATTTTTTGGCCAAAGTGTGCAAATAGACATCTAGACTTACAAATTATGAGAATTTTGTATTTTTAGGTGGACTAATTATTTAAGTCAAACTGTTTGTGCCCTCTCACAAACATACGGATCCCATTATTTTTTGACCATGAGATTCAATAACTTTCAAGGACAAATTAAGAGGTTGCATTAATTTTGAATACAAACAAAGTAAAAGATGATGAACACATTTTTTAACAATAAATTTAAATGACTTAGAGTAAATGAGAATTCTACCTGTTTTGTAAATGTATGTTATAGATCTTGTTGTGAGAACTCCATGTATACATTTAATTTAATTCGGATGTCACCATAAAGAAGAAAATATCTGTTCCTGTTTACATTTCATCACGTCTTTAAGGCCCCAGTACTTATCCAGTGAGTTTGACTTAGTTTCACACCAAGTTAGGCAAAAATGTATGTGTTTCAGAGTATGTTTTAGTAGTTTGCCATAGCTGATCAACAAGAAGTTTAGTTACTGTGAATGTAATTGTAAATTAGTTACATTCTGACAGCTGCTTTAGTGGGGAGTCTCTTTCTTCGGTCAACTCAGCAATTTTCTTTGATTGAAGGTCTTCTTTTTTCTTTGCCTCACTGAGTTGTGTGCGACATTTTTTTGCAAACAGCACAGCTGTCGGGGATTGTATCACTCCTGAAATGATACAGAAAGTTGTTAACAGGATGTGTATTAGTGAATTTGTATAAATTAACCATTAAGTTAACTATACTGTCTAAAATAAATAAGGTTTTTTGTCTGGGCCTATTTTATATTATGATATATTTTGTGCTTTACATGCAACAGTACATACAGTATTATTGTAGAAACAGGTTTACATCATTTCAATATCATTAGCATGTTTAAAAAAATTAAATTAAATATGGGCAAGGCTCTGGGCCTGATTTTTCACCTATCAGGTGATTATGCAAAAGAAGTGTACACTTTCAAATCACCTAACCCACGTTATGTTTAAATTTTAGCAGTGACTTCAATCTGTGGGGTCATGTTGACCCTAAATATTTTAATACATGCAGGGGCGGATCTAGAAAAATATTTATGTGGTGGCAAGAGGGGGGCAGGAAATTCTGAGGGGTGGCAACGTATGGCAGACGTTTATATACTGAATTTAATCATAGTTATCACCAGGGCTCTCAACTTTTCCAAGAACCTCGGAGTGAGATATTGGGATGTGGGTGGCCGATGCAGGTAGCGGTGGGGGGGGGGTTACGACCGTCATCTCTCGGCGTTATCTCGTGCTGCATTCAGCGCAGTCGGACATTGGAGATTCACGCTCGTAAATGTCAAATTGGCCGTAATTTTTCTTTTAATTTGTTGCTGCCAACTGGGATGGCAGCAGGGGTGGCAAGGCTTTCTTTTAGGGTGGCATTTGCCACCCTATGCCACCCCGGTAGATCTGCCCCTGAATACATGATAAGAACATAAGAACATAAGAAC